GAAATCCATACTCCAATATACTCTGCAAAGATTGCTTCGTTCAGCAATTGAAAATTGTTCACTACATTTGAATTTACAGTTTCCGCAGTCAACAATTTGGGGCATTTTTTCACGTCGAAGTCTTTTATTAGTCACATAAGTCAAACCTGTTGAACGACGTTTTTTAACAATATTTTTCTTCCATTCAGTAGGAGTCGATTTACTCCATCTGTTCTTCTTCCGTACCCTATGCCATACTGCATCTAACACTTCGTCAAGCAATATCGTTACTGTTTCTACTGCATTGTCAAAATTAGTATTGACACCATCAGTGTCTGAAAGATTCTCAATATTCACAAGATTCACGTTTTCGTGATCGTTATCTTCAGGATCATCAAAATCGAGGGGAAGTTCAATGTTAACTTCATTGTCAATTTCAGCAGTAGGATTTTTCATTGTCGGAGGAACATAAGTGGGAAGCCTGTGGAAAAAATAATTATATTATAAGGCATTACTATTAAAACGTTTCGGAGAAAATGAAAGTTACTTACTGTCCTGAATATCCAAATCTTCTAGATCAAATTTGTTGCCCATAATTTTTTCCATGTCATTGGCAATTTTGATTTGATTTTCATTCAGTTCAGACGAAGCATTGGAGTTATCATCTTGACTAAAAAGTTCTTGTTCTAGTTGAGAGAAAAAAAAATATTATGTAAAACTGTTGATTATTTAAAAAACTCAAATTTGTAACTATAAATATTCTAAAATAAGGATAAAATTCTATCAACATTTAGTATTTAAATTTTTCGCCCTTATTATATTCTGAACAAAAATCCGAAAGTTTGCAAATATTAAGGGGTTACTAGGGAATATATTTGCGTACAATCCTTAAGCAATTGCCACAAAAATCTAAAGAGTGACGGAAATACAATTAAAACGTAATAATATTTATTCTATGCCCAAACACTAATAAAATATCTTATTACTTAATGATTATAATGTTGCAAATTACAGGCATTCAATTAATTAATGGTCTTAATAAACCAAAAACATAGTTTTGCCACTTGAAAAAAACTGATTTAACACCTCGACACTTTAAAGTTTTAATTTTTTTCTGAAGATGCGAACTTAGCGAAACAAGTATCGAGGAGTAAAAGTATCCGTTTGCGAAGTTTTTGATTTATTCTTAGTTCCAAAGTTTCCATTCTACAATAATACTCCTAATCTCATGAATTTATTATAAAAACCCATAAAAGTCTATATTTATAAAAGGTAGACAGCCAAAACCCAGTAAGTTCTTATGCAATCCAAGTATCCGTGGGTATTTTCTTATCTATTTCAACATAATATTCTAGGTAGAACACAATAACTGTACTTACCGGGATTTGGCATGTAACAAAAAGTATATAAAAAAATTAATTTTGTACTATGGCTGATAATAATTCTTACCTAATTTTGCTTCATGTCTAATGGAAGCGTTGTTCTCATTACCTCTCATTTGTACTACATCTAAAACAGTAATGATAATATTATTATTCAACGAAACGATGCTGTACACAAATTTAATTTGAGGTTATGAACAGAAAACTTATTTACCTGCAATATTTCCGGCTTCTAGGGCTAAACACATTATTTTTTTTGCTCTTTCAGTCATTGTAAGGTTAATGTTAACTATCAGATATTAAACACACTTAACACACAGCGAAAATAACGTTTGTACACTGCGTGATTTTGCCAGTAACAAACTCAAACACTTATTTGGTTCTTATGCATGCATATTACATACGCTACTAACAGTACGGACCTCGCAAAACCCATTAATCTAAGTTACCGGGTTTTCGCTTGAGATGTATATTAGCTAAAGTAAGTATATTTTCGGGCGAAAACCCTTTAAGTAATTTTAATGTTTATTTACTATTGCAATTGTTATTAATATTGAATTAGTTATTCATATCAAAACCACTTAAACACATTTATCTGCTTTTAACTCGCAATAATTCTACAAAATATAATAAAAGTTCCAAAACAAAACCCAATACAGCATTTTAACAGATTGTAGTCTTTACATAATATCAAAAACTTAGTATTTTATGCACATACCTGTTTCATAAAAAATAAAAAACAACATAACTATAAGTTATCAGGTTTTAAAGTTGTTGAATACTATTAATTTAAAAGGAAAACCTGGTAAATATGTTTACCATTAAAAAGAGCACGAAAAGTTATGAATAATGACCATTAAAGGTCGTTTTGAGATTTTATCGACTTATCGGGTTTTGGCTCCATACCCTCGCAATATTGGATAATAAGTACACACTTTTACATTTTCCGTAGGTACTTGTTTTTGTCACATATAAGAGATCAATATTAAATCAGTACTTATGTTTATAAATATTTCTTTTGTCAAAAATTGTTTTTATTAGGTTTTAATTTTCTGATATCATCTTTAGTTCATGATATAGTCATTGTAAATTTTTAAATTGCCAACTCCCATGTATACGTTTTATTTATTTTTGTGCATATTCCAGTTATAAATAAATAAAAATCAACAAAACTAACATTGTAAAATTTTGTAGAGAGACCTTTATGACTTCTTTTAAAGAAACTCGTTAACGTGAATTTTAAATAAAAGATTGGTTTGGGAAAGTCTTTACGGTTTTATTATGAAATTAGCCCCAAAAAAGGCCCTAACACTATTCTATTATGTTGAAAATACATATTTACGTAGATTTTTTATTTCTTTGTATTATTTTTATAATTTGATCAAATTAAGTTTTCGTAAAGAAAAATGAAATCTACATATTGCTGTATAAAATATATATTTTCAATAACATTTAAAAAAATACATTAAAAAGGTTTTTTCCGATTAGTATGCCAACTTATAGTTAATCGAACAGTTTTAAAGTAAATCGTTTATTATATGAGATGAATATCGATTTTCTTACTGCGCAGTAGTTAGATTTTATATTTCGTATGAGAATGAATGAATTACTACTGTTATTTAAGAACTCCGTAAACTTGGCTGCACTGTTCAATGAGAATATTGCATTTCTGCCAAGGACATTTAGATTGTCAACCCGTCTGAGCTACCTAAATTTTATCTTGGTTATATATCTATGTGTAGAACTTAGATTAAAAGATCACCTTCTGATTAAACACTTTATTTTAAACACTAATGGAATGATTTTATTTGTTACTACATGGTGCACTTGAGACTAAATACGTTTTACATTACGAAATTTGTTACTTAAGCAATTTTTAATCTATAACGAGTTATGTTACATGATGGCGGACGAAGCGTCGCCTTTTTAACACCGCAAAACGCTGGGGTGTGTTTGACGATTTCTGATGCTCTAATTCTGCGCGGGATAAAAGTAGCTAAGCGAGCTTGAGAGTCACGATTGACGTTGGCCGATAAGAAGTGCATAACGCCTGCGGCGCTAACCAATTAAAGTGGATGCCGCGTATGGCGGTAACCAATGAGAGGTGGACAAGAAGTAAATGACGCTTGTGATGTAGTTATTTGTTAAGAGACCTTTCTTATCGACCAAGGCAGTGCCGCTTACAGAGACATCTCCAGGAGTAGTAAAAAAAATCGAGAATGGAAGCTTAGTGCATATTTGATGCAGTATTGAGCGAACGACGAATACAACTTAGTCTATTAGTTTTTTTACGCAAACCTTTTTCATCTTGTTCGATTTTTCACTCCCACATATGGTATTTATTACAACTACCTTTTTAATCATGCACGTGTATTTTTTTATATATTTTATGGAGACGTCATATTATATTCTAAATACTTATCAGTTAATTTTTAGACTTGATGATGGCCTAATCCCGAAACCGGTTGTCATTTAACTTCATATAATGTATTTATTAGGATTGATTTTGAGTCATTATCTTACCTTTAAGGTACACATTAGAACAGTTGGATACTTTTCTTCAGTTATCCTGTATATTATCACACTTTTCTATTATCTTCTACTATTCAATTCCAAAAGTGTAAAATCTGTAAAGTGAATCGTTTTGAAGTTGCATTTTTTGAGCTTTTGTATACGATCTTTCTCTTTCTTTCTCTTTTTGTCTTTTTTCTTTTCCTTCTATTTTTTTCTAAGATCACCTTTATATAAATTTTGACTTGTTTTGGTCATAAAAACCTCACCATTAAAATTATGGATAGTTTTCATTGAAATTATTTAATATTCATTTAATTATTAAATAGTATCCATATCGTGCGAACGTATCCTACTGTGTAAGACTTAACAAAAGCTCGCCAGGTCATATTCATCTCTTAGTTGGATCACTTGGGCCTTCCGCGCTCATCGCCTCACCTCCCGCGGCTTAATATAAAGAAATAAAACCAAATTATATGAAGTTTGGCAACGCTATTCGTACCGAATCATGGAGATCTCCCGCGTAAGCTATTATTGTGGTAGCAGTACCTATTTTGCCGGTGATATAAACTAACCAAATATTGTTGTATCGCAGATAGAACCCTGTAAGTTAATAAATTGTGTACTAAATTTGATTCGACAAGTAGAGCCATCTCTATAGTCAGAAACCAGTAAGAAAATAGGTCCATATAAACCTTAATATTAGGGTTTGATATAAAGGGTTACTGAGTTTTTGATTAATAACAGTTAAATCCTAGTAATGTCTTAATTATTGAGATTACAGAAGTTCATTGTCTGGTCCGTAGACATTTTTTTACTGGTATAACTTGAGGTTTTGAATAAATAATAGATGCTTGTAGTGTCGTAACTTTACACGCGGTTTTTTGGGGAATGATTTCGCGCCCTATCCACTAATTACGATAAATGTCATTCAAAAAATGGCGCACATTCGCACGAAAATGTAGTGGTGCCCCATCATGCAAGAACCACATTTTACGGCACGTTTTCGAGTACCTGCAAATTGTTATGAATAAAATTAAATATTGTTCACCATTTATTTATTACACTGTAATTAATTAATTTTTATTCACATGTCTTAACAACATACTACATTGTATTCTTTCTTAGGTATTATATAAGAGAATTAGATCTAATGGGCCGGAGCAGTCTTCTTGCTCATAACTTGACAAATGCAGTAGCACTTGACTATGATTGGAAGAGTCAGTGTATCTATTGGTCTGATGTGACACAACTTGGATCTTCCATCAAGCGACTTTGCAACTACAAGAAAAATTCTACAGAAGTGGAGATTTTACACTCACCCACTCTGCAAAATCCGGATGGCTTGGCTGTAGATTGGATTGGCCGAAATTTGTATTGGTGTGATAAGGTAATATCATTAAATGACTATATGAAGTATTGTCTAAATTCAAAAATTCTCTTTTCATGTGCTTTAAATTCTGCATTTTTGATGTTTAATACCTTCATGTTTTTTTATAGTTTATAAGTATTTTTGTTTTAGGGTTTGGACACAATAGAAGTATCTAGTTTAGACGGAAAATATCGCAGAGTTCTTCACTCCAAGGGTCTAGAAGAACCTAGGGCAATAGCCTTAGATCCAACTAAAGGGTACATGTACTGGTCAGATTGGGGTTCTCGTGTTCATATTGGAAAAGCAGGTAATTTTTAAAATTATTTATCTAAGCATTTTACTTCAATGGAGTCGGATTTTTTTGGATGAATTCCTAATAGATTTTAATTGAATTCCTTTTAGGTATGGACGGTTCAAATCCAAAAGTCATTATCAAAAACAACCTAGGTTGGCCTAACGCTTTGACCATCTCTTATGAAACTCAAGAACTCTTTTGGGCAGATGCTAGAGAAGATTATATAGCCTTCTCTGATTTGGAAGGAAATAATGTCAAGGTTGTGGCTAGTAGAGAAAGAAATCCCAAATTCCAACTGCATCACGTTTTTGCTATAGATATTTGGGAAGATTACATATATTGGACCGATTGGGAGACCAAAACAGTTGAAAGGCAAGTATTAAATATCAATAAAAAAAGAGTTTTTTAATACTGTAATATTTTTTAACCCTGCAATATTTTTTAACAGATGCAACAAATACACGGGCGAAGACTGCAAATCCATCTTATCGACAGTTCACCGTCCTATGGATATTCGAGTAGTTCATCCTTTTCGTCAGCCATCTGTCAAACATAATCCTTGTGCAACAGCTAACTGCTCAGCTCTCTGTCTCTTAACACCTTCAGCACCTCATTTCACTTGCGCATGCCCAGAAAATTACATATTAGGCAATGATAGCCGTTCCTGTGTCGCCAACTGTACAACTGCTCATTTTGAGTGCAAGGTAAGTTAGTAAGACTAAGACTTATTTTACAGTTCGCAATTTTCCTTGTTACAAGTAAAAATCGGCAATTACCATTGAGCGCAATTAATTACAATAAGTTCGCCAACTTAGGTCGTAACCAGGTTCGTCCATACACCAAGCAAATTAGGAAAAATTTGACTGCAGTGAATAAATTTATATGGTTGAAATAGAATTTTGTTTACCAATTTGTTGTTGTGATTTGGATTTTTTAATTATTTAAACAAAAAAATATAAAAAATATTTGAGTAAGACATGTACCAGTAGATGACATTATAAGTATGTAATTTTACTAAAACAAAAATAATTTGCTTTAAAAAACAAATGATCACTCATATATTTAGCTATTGAATGCAATGGGTTCTATTTATGTAGTTAATTTAAATATTTTTTTCAAAAATGATAAATTTTTCTAATACACCTATGTACCTGTATATATAAGAACCACTTCCTGACATGTCAAATGTTCAAATAGCTGCCATTGTAGGAAATGGTACCAGTGAATGACAATAATTAAACAAAGCATTGGTTAACATATTCTTATTTTACATGTTCTACTCTTATATAGCCAGTGTAAACATATACAAAATGATAATGAAATTTTTGTTTTTCATGAACAATTTTTACAGAACTTTTAAATACATATCTTAACGATTACCAATAGAAACCACCTCAGGGTTTTTTAGTATTTCAAAAATCTGACCAAAAGAAACTGTTGAAACAACCTTTTCATTTGTAGTTTAAAATCATAATACTAATGTCTCCAACGATCTCATGTACAATAAATACATACCTTATGTAAACTGAGCATTTCGTTTGCCTCCTACAAACTTATCCAATACAAAACCACCATTTTAGTTCGTTGATGTGCTTTAAAGGCTTCATTTTTTTATCTATTGGTCACCTTCTTTATCTTCTTTAATTTTCTAGGTTGAATCATCTGATTCTGCATATTTCACACCACCACTGGTCTTATTCAAGTTTCTTCAGATTTTTATTTTCTTGTAATTTATTTTTACTTTCTCTTTTTTCTTCCTTTTGAATTTTTCTGTTGAGCGATTCCCTTTCTTTTCGTACCTTTTCTAGCATCTCTCTTCTGTTGTATTCCTGCCATGGTTTTGAAGTTACAACTAAATGTATTTTTCCTTTTTAGGGTTCCATACCCGAAGGATAACCAACGGGACCCTATTACTAAAACTCTGCTGTCCGACTGTCGTAATAAGTATACAGTTGAAATTTTCTCAGAATGTGTGTTTCTGTTGCTGCTATAATAACAAATAATAAAAATAAATTAAAAAATAAACTGAGCTACTAGAAACGTGTTTTTTTGGCTTTTTTTTGCTCGATTTTAATAAAGTATTTAAAAAGTACCTGCATAGTATTAAATCTTACACGATGGTGCGGAACCCTTCATGCACAAGTCCGACTCGCACTTGGCCGGTTTAATTCCTCTTTCTAACATCTTTGTTTTTGTCATCAGGTCAAAACACGGCTCTTTTAAATGGCGATGGTATTATTGGCTTCTCTGAAATTTTGCCAGCTGTGATATTGATGTTAATACTAAGAGAAGTTTGTATTTTCTTTAAAAATTATTTTTGTGTCCTTGAATAAACTACAATGGCGTCTATTCTGTAACAATTCCTTTATATTTAACGGCCTTTAAAAATATTGGCGACCTTTAAAAATATGTTTGTATTCGTTAATTTACTTCTGTCATTATTTAAACATTTCTTTAAGATAGTCCTCTAATGTATTTTAAAGATCCGTTTAAATAATGACAGAAGTAAAGAAGAAAATATTTTTAAAGGCCGTTAAATATAAAGGAATTGTTACAGAATAGACCCCAATGTCAGCCATTATATTGGCTTTGTAAGTTATGGAGTTAGAATTTAGAGGATGTTGCTTTACTGTAGTTACTAATATTTTTGAAATATTAGAAGCATTATCAGTCACCCTGTCATTAATAATTCACTGTCATCTATTTTTCTTTCATATTCTTCCTCGTAGCTATTACCTTGAGTTGTAGATTCACACTTCAAATATATTTTTTGCCAAAATACAAATAATGCTTTATACTCTATATGTTCTGTCCATTCATGTTCTATCTTTGTGTTTTTTTAAATTTATCCAATTATATGTTCATATCAGTAACAATCAATCAATCAATTACCTCCTCTGGATAATCTATTGCAAATGTTATTTTATGACTGCAAAAAGGGATGTGAAGCTACTTGTGAATGTCGAAAAAGTGGTTTATACTGTACTATACAATTACCAGCTCCGGATAATCTATTGCAAATGTTATTTTGTAATTGCAAAAAGGGATGTGAAGCTGCTTGTGGATCTCGGAAAAGTGGTCTATGCTGTAGTGTAGCATGTTTTTACAGTGCAGCGAAAATAGTTGTTTCGATACTCCACCTAATGTAAATTGTTTAATTAAAAAACATTTTATTAGTAATTTTCTTTTTTAAGCTATTGCATAGCTTTTATCGCGGGCTTTGAGCGCGGCGACCGAATCAAGAAAAAAAAAAACGAAACCGTAACGAAAATAAACCTAACACTCTATCTCTATCTCTTTTAGACACAATTTCGGAAAAATTGAATTTAAAAATGAATAATGATCCACAACAAAATATGGGACCATCATTGACGCGGTATCTTCCAGATATTTAGAGGATATCAAGTCTCAAACTTATGTTTCTTATTTCAGTTACCATAAACCTATAGTTTCAATGATAAAAATTCCTGAATAACCTACATGTATTTTAAACAATATTAACTTCTTATTTATTCAATAAAAGAAAAAAATTTGTTTTCTTATCGGTCACCACGCCCAAAAAGTGTAACTTGAATTAACATCAAAGAAAAAACTTGAATTAATATCAAAGAAAAAAAATACTGCATAAATAAATAATTATAATTGCATAAGTTGATAAAAAATGCTATGCAATAGCTTTACCGCGGCAGTCCCCGAGTGTCACACGTATTTTTTTTTTTTTTTTATTAATTTTCCTTCATTCACTTCGTTTTTCCCAATTACTACCTGAATATACTAGGTATTTGAATTATTGCAATTATCTTTTTTTTTTTTAATCAAGATAAGGGTCATTCTCAGTTAAGCCGTAAATTCGACGTCCATAACAAAAAATCACCTTTTTAAAAAAAATGTATTAAAAAGAATGTTATTTTCTCTTAAAACTCGTGCTCATATAATTGGTCACTCAAATTCATTTCTTAATTTTATTTAATTTAGTCACAATTTCACCTCAAAGTCGGAAAACATCTCTCCCCTGGCTTGTCCCCGGGCCGATTCTGTTTATTTATTTGTAATTTTAAGTACTTGAAAATCAAATAACTTATTTAAATTATACATTTCAACAAAATAATTTAAATAAATTATCGTAATCAAGCAAGTAAAATTGCGTGATTTTTTTTTTTCTTAAAAAAAATTACGTTTACGTTTGTCCCCCGTATTTTGCGTCTCGTCCCCTGGCACGCTTATTTTTGTGTAAAATCGGCATTTGTTTACTGACTTGCGGGAATTGAAGACCTTGAGCGAACGTTGTTGAGTGTATAGTTTGTAATCAGAGCCACTCGAACTAGGTGCGCAGTCATTTAGTCATTTATTTCGTTACTGGCACTCTGTGCATACAGTTGACAACGAGTGAACGGAGTCTCTCCCCTGGTAAGTTTTATTTTTAAAATATTCATCTAAAAATTTTAATTCATTCGTATATTTACTTCTCGTTGTGTATAGATTCTAACTTTTCTTGGTTAATTTCATACAATAAATACATTTGTCATTATTTCTATTTTTGTTACTAAAAAGTATCTCCCCTGTTTATATCTCCCCTGTCTTGTAAGGGCCAGGGGAAAGACACGATATCCAGGGGAGATATGAAAACTTTAAAGACTAATTATTATCAATTAATTATTGATAAATAAAATTATAAAATGACTGAATAAAGTTAATACTTCAATAAAATGTTGTTTTCTTTCATAAAATAATGTTAAAATCCTTTCTCTAATCAAAAAGTATTCTACTCTGTACATTAAGTCTCTCCCCTGGATGAGTATCTCCCCTGGAATCTTATAAAACGAGATAAAATCAATAAATTGACTGACCGTCTTGCAGGCACGTTTGAAATGACTGTTTTGATCGAACCATTGTAAAATTTGATTTCAATTTCAAAATTTTTGTCGTGCCGCATTTTATCAATAAGCCATTTACGTCTCAACTGAGAATGACCCATAACAATTTTTAAATTGGTAAACTTTTTTATATTATATATTAGTAGCAAAATGTGTGCTCTAGGGCAGGTGTGGCCAACAAGTCGATGTCGATCGCGATCGGCCGGTCAATAGCAAAGACGATTTTGGTTGACCTTTCGCGATTTTTTGACTATTAGGTATAATAAAAGCAAGAGATATAGTTTGACTTTAAAGCGTTAAAGCCAGCCGGCAACATACAAAAAAAAAAACTAAGGACACTGATTGACGTTTAATATAGTAGAGGGGCATTCAAGAGAATGAGTATACTTATTTTTTTTACTTTCCTTGATAAAAGGGAAGTATTGTAATCGTGAAAATTTAGATTTTCACGTTTTCGGGTCCCTAGATTACAAAAAACATGTTTTCCCCATTCTGTCGGTCTGTCTGTTGTTTGCCGTCTGTCTGTTAGCGCGAGAGCTCAAAAACGGCTTAAGAGAAAAACTTCAAATTTTGTATGCAGGTAAGGCTTCCTCTTGGCTCAAAACTGGTTATTCTTCCGGTCAGATATATACAGGGTGAGCAATTAGAACAAATAATTTATTTTTAAAAGTCAGCAGATTTCGACTAAAATTGGTTTCTGATAAAATTGTTATCTGATCAAAGATAACAGGTCATGAATTACTTTTTAAAAATTCAAAATGGCTTCTCTGTTTTTACAATGTATACAGGGTGTTTTTAATGGTATGCTAATATTGTAGGGTGTGATTCCT